TGACTGCTAGAGATTTTTAATCACACATTCTATTAGTAAAACACTTTTAAATATTCATCTCCATATATATATAAAACTAGAAGCATGATGCACAAAATTTGTGCAAAGGATTCAGACCTCACAGACCCAGCTTCGCCCAGATGTTCATCTGTAAGGACATCTGGAAGGTCATTTGGCTGTTCGGTCTAATTAGCACATTTTGCTTTTATTATTATTATGGATGTTTATCTATAAATTAAGCATTATTATATCAATATATTATGCATATTTTACAAAAACACCCACAAAAATTGGCATTAAAAATGGATATAAAATGTAATATAATTAGAAGTCATAATACACAAAAGGCTCATGACAAGTGCCTCAAACAATGGCATGCACCTGCACTGGTAGAACTACAAAGCCTACAGATGTGGCCCCCACCTCTTTCCTGTTTTCTCTCTCACAGCTACCTTCCATCTACCCTGTGTTACAATTATGACTAATGACTTGTATTTCTCCAGAGGTGTGCTGTTGCCTTCATACCTGTGCGCAGACTATCCTGTTCTTCACTACTTTATTTATCTTGGCATATTAAAAAAATTTTTTTTAACCCTCACCCAGATTTTTTCCATTGCTTTTTAGAGTGGAAGGGAGGGAGGAGGAAAGAAACATCGATATGAGAGACACTCAAGCCTGGACAGGGCCAGATATCAAACCTGCAACCCAGGTACATTCCCTTGGCCAGAAATTGAAATCACAACGCTTCAGCACATGGGCTGATGCTCTAGCCATTGAGCACCACCGGTCAGGGTGATCTTAGCACACTTTTTATTAATAAAAAAAAAAAAAAATTCGCCGAAATCAGTGTGGCTCAGTGGATACAGTGTCGGTCTGCGGACTGAAAGGTCCCAGGTTCAATTCCAGTCAAGGGCATGTACCTTGGTTGCGGGCACATCCCCGGTGGGGGATGTGCAGGAGGCAGCTGGTCGATGTTTCTCTCTCATCGATATTTCTAGCTCTCAATCCCTCTCCCTTCCTCTCTGTAAAAAATCAATAAATTTTTTTAAAAAATTCAACCTAAATGTTAATTTCTGTAAAAGATTTGCTTAATCTCCAAACAAGTAATGATTCTCAGTATCTTGTTTAAATCACGAGAATGATACCTATTCGTCATTAGAATGATTGAGAACCACTGTTTAGAGGAAGCATACAAATATCTTCACAATCTAGCAAAACTACTGAATCAACAATTAAAAGCAGAATACATAAAAGAACTAAAAGAATTCTCACAACTCAATAAAAACTCAACCCAACTTAAAACATGTACAAAAAAACTAACAGACATTTCAAAAAGACATACATAAAATGGCTAATAAGCATATAAAAAAGGTGGTTGTTACCAATATTCACCACAGAAATACAAATTAAAACCAGAATGAGGAATAAAAATTGGTTCAACAAACTACATACCCATTTAAGATGACTAAAATTTATGAGATGAAAACCAATGGTTGGTGAAAACGTGGAGCCACCTGAACTCTCATATATTTGCTGGTGGGGGGTTAAAATGGTACACGTTTCAGCAGTTTCTATTAGTTAAGCATAAAGCATACACTATCCTATGACCCTATAAATCCACTTCTAAATATTTACTCAAGAGAAATAAGAGCATATGTCTACCAAAAAACATTATATAAGAATGTTCTGCTTTATTCATAACTAGAGGCCCAGTGCACGAATTTGTGCATGGGTGGGGTCCCTCAACCTGGCCAGTGATCAGGGCCAGTCTCAAGCAGGGCCAATTGGGGCCACATGGGGGAGGAACCACGGGAGGCTGGCCAGCCACAGGAGGTTGGCTGTGGGAGTGCACTGACCACCAGAGGGCAGCTCCTGCATTGAGCGTCTGCCTCCTGGTAGTCACTGGGCATCATAGCAAGCAATCAGTTGTTCGGTTGTTTAGGCTTTTACACACACACACACACACACACACACACACACACACACACATACACGTGTGTGTGTGTGTGTGTGTGTGTATATATATGTATATGTATGTATATATGTGTGTGTGTGTGTGTGTAGACTAGAGGCCTGATGCACAAAAGCTGTGCAAGGGACTCAGCCCTTGCAGCCTCACAACCTTGGTTGGCGCAGACTTGGCCGGCCCTTGCAGCCCTGGCTTCATCTGAAAGGTTGTTTAGGAGGTCATTCTGCTATTTGGTCTAATTAGCATATTAGCTCTTTATTGTATAGGATAGCCCATATATCTGCCAACAAGTGAAACAATTTGTGGTATATTCATACAGTAAAAATAATCACATGCAATAACCTAGAACAGTGGTTGGCAAACTCATTAGTCAACAGAGCCAAATATCAACAGTACAACGATTGAAATTTCTTTTGAGAGCCAATTTTTTTTTAAATATATTTTATTGATTTTTCACAGAGAGGAAGGGAGAAGGATAGAGATCCAGAAACATCGATGAGAGAGATACATGATACATCGACCAGTCGCCTCTTGCACACCCCCAACCGGGAATGTGCCCGCAACCAATGTATATGCCCTTGATCAGAATTGAACCTGAGATCCCTGAGTCTGCAGACCAACGCTCTATCCACTGAGCCAAACCGGTTTCTGCGAGAGCCAAATTTTTTTAACTTAAACTTCTTCTAACGCCACTTCTTCAAAATAGACTCGCCCAGGCTGTGGTATTTTGTGGAAGAGCCATACTCAAGGGGCCAAAGAGCCGCATGTGGCTCGCGAACCGTGGTTTGCCAACCACTGACCTAGAACAATGTTAAAGCTATTGTTTTAAAACAAAGACACAAAGAGTATATACTTTATGATAGCACAAATATGATTCCTAAAGCAGGCAAAAGTAGTCTATAGTTAAAAAAAAAAAACAACAGAGATGCTTGGGGGTCATGGGTGAGGGGCATGGGAATTAACTCAAAAGGGTCACTAGGATCTTTCTGGGGTGACAAAACTATCCAATATATTTAGTGAGGAATGTTATATTTATGTAAACATCTGTAAAAATTAAAGTTTTGTACATTACAATATATGTAAATTTTATCCTCAAAATATAATTTTTAAAAAACTTAGTGGGGGATAGGTAGGTGATAAAGGTACTACTGCAACAAGAATTGGCAGATTATTCTTTATTGAAACTGGGTGATGGGCACATAAGGGTTCATTAAATTATCAAATTTTTCAAAATGGTTTTGAAAAAATAACTTCTTAATTCTGCCTCAATGAAAAAAGAGAATTGGTCACGACTGTCTTTTACATAAAGTAAAATATCAATACTCTGGTTTCTCTTCAGATCGCATAAATCTTTCGCCTTTTACATAAAGTAAAATATCATAAAGGCATTCCCTAAACTTTCTTTTCTATGCTGAATAATACTTTTCCTTTATACTTTCTTTATTCTTATTATACAGCTCACCTTGAAATCTCTTAAAGTTTTCCATATCTCATTTTACTTATTATACTATAATCTATAGAAAGGAAAGAGTTGGAGAGAGACACTCCTTTAGTCTTTACTATATGTATGTCAGTACTCTACCTACTTCAAATACATTACCCAAGTTATATCTCCAAACTGAATTTTGTCTCTAAAATTTGAGTCTTGTTTACTTATTACTTCTCTCTCATGTGAATTTATGTTCAGGGGCAACATGAATCTTGTTCACCATTTCTTCAGATGTGACACACAGCACATACAAATCATATAATTGAGGCATATCTGAGCACACAAATACCCAGTTTAGCTCTCTTTTTGATGGTACAAAATAATTTTTCATTGCAGTTATACCTAGCTTGTTTTTGTCTTTAATCTTACTGGAATCTGTATCATAAAGCATACATTATCCTATGACCCTATAAATCCACTCCTAAATATTTACTCAAGAGAAATAAGATCATATGTCTACCAAATTATTGTATGTATTTGTTTTACATGGAATAGAATTAAATGTGATCGAGAACTTCACATTTTCTTTATTTTAAAATGTAACCATAAAAGTATTTACATCTAGTGAGTCAATTTACTCTATACATTTCAGCATATCTTTAAATGATGTGATTTCTATATGTAGTGTTACTTTTCCTGCTCTTATTCACATAGCTAAAGAAAAATATCCGAGTGCTTTTATTGTCTCAAATTCTATTAGCATCACCCTTACGGTGAAAAATAACGTAGCAAATATCGAGAATTGAGAGTTCCTTATAGAGAGATAAATCGCTTAATGATAGATTTATAGTAAAAATGATCAATTTTACTTCAAAATAATTAATCTAACAAACAAAACATCTATATAAGCTTAAACTGTTAGTTCCCTTTATCAAAATACAGAAAAATCTAGGTTCATTCTCAGAGTACAGTTTTCAGTAAACATTTGGGCATAGTTTGTGTAAAATCACCAATATCTTAAAATTAGAATTAGAATTCCACCTCAATTTTCAATATTTTTTTCAGTCTTATCCTCAAAACATCTATAAAGTTTTTTTTGTTTTGTTTTTTAAAAAGGAGGTGGGAAAACAAGTGTTATTAGTGGTATTTGTAAAATAGAAAAAAATTGAGTAAAATTACAGTCAGTTAGTTATTAAGACCAAGAATTTTTCCTCATTAATTAAGCACAATATTCTATCCAAGAATACTGTTAGTCTAATTGGTAACTGCAGTATTTCTCTAACAAACTAAAACTTAAAAAAAAAAAAAAAAAAGATTTCCTAACATTCTATGGGAGAAGGTGAGAAAGAAGTAAACATTAGGAAAAACAAAATCACAAAGAATGACATTGTACATATAAAATTTTATTTATAAAACAGTTCACAAAACCTTACATGTATTTGCCACATATTCAAATCCAAATTCTTCCAATTATCATATGTTTATAGATTATACATAGTTTAAAAAAACATTTAATTCAAATGTACCAAATGCAGCAAAGGGCTTAAAAATAGAAGTTTCAAAATAAATATTCATTTAGAGACACCAGCAAATAGATCTGACCTTTTCAAGTGGCTTTCCCAGAGAGTTTCCAATCAGTTTCCAGTCATTCAAAACTTCTTCAACTCTGGAAATAAACCTGGGAAGGAACAAAAAAAGCACCTTTCTAAATATGTAACTGCATATTTTTTTTTTTTACTATTGTTATACAATTCTTAGAAAAGCATTTTTTATATATTTTTAAAATATATTTTATTGATTCTTCACAGAGAGGAAGGGAGAGAAGGATAGAGAACTAGAAACATCGATGGGAGAGAAACATCGATCAGCTGCCTCCAGCACACTCCACACTGGGGATATGCCCACAACCAAGGTACATGCCCTTGACCGGATTCGAACCTGGGACCTTTCAGTCCACAGGCCGATGCTTTATCCAATGAGCCAAACCAGTTAAGGCCATTTTTTATATTTTAACATTTTTATCAGAGAAGTCTCATAAGTTTAATATTGTTACAGTCTAATTTATCAGTGTGAAATAAAAGTGAAAATAATTTCCTTTAATTCAAGAATTCTTACATTTTGAGTATACTGCTTATCCAACAAAGGCATTCTGCCTGCTATAAAATATAAATTAAGAATAAGTGTCTATATAAAATGGATAAATTGGAGACAGAAAAACTGACAGACTAACATGATAGTATTAAAGATAATTATGAAATCATAATATTTTCCCTATTTTCAAAATAACTAATTTAGTAACTTTTCCTTTAAAGAGTTAGGAATTCTCTGATATTCCTTTCCCTTTCCCAAAAAGAGGACATTATTTGGGAACATTGTTCATTAAAATTAAACAAATTTTAAGGAACAGCTGGCAAGAAAATCCAAGTACATTTATCAGCTTTAAGGAATAACTGATAGATTCTATAATTATCCACATCTTTAAATCTAATGATCAAACAGACCTATTAAAAAAAAAAAGAATTTGACTAGAAATATTCTCAACATTAGCAAATGAAAACTGTCAAATCTCAGCAGTAATGCTAAGTACATATTAAAAGACACTCTGTGAAGACTTACTACTCTAAGAAGCTGACTTCTTATGTAAGTATGATGCAATATAACAACGACATTGCTCTATTAAAATGCCTACATAATATTACTAGAGTATTAGTTAATTCTAGCGAAATACAAGGCATCAGGTTTATTCTTCAGTGATTTACATAATAATTTTTACATTTCTGTTGTAAGACAGTAATGATAAATCACTTTTTATGATTCAACTGAACCTTCTAATTAATTCCTCTTTAAAATTCAAGGCATTAATACTAACTGGGCACACATATTGTCTTTTCCAAATACTTGATTAAGTCTCCTTAGATCCAGGTATTTCCAGTCTATAAAGCATACTTTTCTGTCTAATTTGTAGAAAAAAATATAAAATAGATAACAGTAATAATAATGCCATAAGGAAAAAAACTTAAAGGCATTAATATATACTAATTCACTTTGGGGAAGAGGGATTCAGTCAAAAGGTAATTATCAGCTTTGAATATGAGTGTGACAGAAATTAGTTAATGTGTTCTAAAAAAGAATAAAAATGTAATAATAAAAAGGTATCCATATGTGAGCGAAAATCTGTGTTAACTGAAACCTATCTTAATGTTCAACTGCAGCAATTAATGTATTAATTTACAATACCATTAATTGTAAATTAATGGTATATCCATTCAATAAATAATATGTACCCATTAATAATGTTTTAAAGTCCATTTGAGGAAATAAATGTTCATTTGTTAATGGAAACTATATAAATATTAAAATGGTTTGATACAAGTTTACATAGATTAGAAGGAATTTTCTCAAAATAGTAATAGTAGCTATCTCATGGTGGTCGGATTACAGGTGCTTTTTCTTTTTAATTCTACTATTGGACTCTATCCTAAAAGTATTGATATTTGACTAGAATAATTTAATAACTTTACCCTGAAAGATCTCCAGATCTCAGGTAAAGGGTCATTTCCACTGGCTCCTCAGTCTATGTTAGGTCTAATGGCTACATGCTCTTACAAGACCAGATTTATTCTCCTTCTCAGCTCTTATTTCAATTGTAATTAGACTCATTTCTATTATTAATTTCACTAAGAGGCCCAGTGCACAAAATTTCATGCACAGGTGGGGTGTCCCTGAGCCCAGCCTCCACTCTCTCCCCTTTGGGACCTATTGAGGAATGACCTACTGCCCATTTATGCCCGATTTGAGTCGGGCATCCCTCTCACAATCCAGGACTGCTGGCTCCCAACTGCTCGCCTGCCTAGCTGCCTGATTGCCTCTAACCGCTTATGCCTGCCAGCCTAATCACCCCCTAACCACTCGCCTGCCAGCCTGATCAACACCTAACTGTTCCCCTGCCAACCTGATTGCCCCTAACTGCCCTCCCCTGCTGGCCTGGTCACCCCAAACCACCCTCCCATGCCAGCCTGGTCACCCCTAACTGTCTTCCCCTGCAGGCCTGGTCCCCCCCAACTGCCCTTCTCTGCTGGCCTGGTCTCCCCCAACTGCCCTCTTCTGCCAGCCCGGTACCCCCTAACTGCCCTCCCCTACTGGCTTCATCCCCCCACCCCCAATTGTCCTCCCCTGCAGGCTTGGTCTCCACCAAATGCCCTCCCCTGCTTGGCCTGGTCCCCCCCCCCCAACTGCTCTCCCCTGCAAGCCTGGTCCCCTCAAAAGCCCTCCCCTGCTGGCCTGGTCTCCTCTATTGCTCTACTTTGCCATCCTGGTCACCCCCAATTGCCTTCCTCTGCCAACCCAGTCACCCCTAACTGCCTTCCCCTGCTGGCCTGATAGTCCACAACTGCCCATCCCCGCAGACCATCTTGTGGAGGCCATCTTGGGACCTCATGGGGGCAGCCATCTTTGACCACATAAGGGTGCCTTTCTTGTGTGTTGGAGTGATGGTCAATTTGCATATTACTTTTATGAGATAGGATTCATATCTGTCTCTTTCACTAAACTATACATTCAGGAAGAGCAGGTATCATCTGCTCTTATTGACCACCACATCCCTAATATCCTCAATTGTACCTGAAACATAGGCACTCAATATTTTTTCAACAGAAAAATGATAAAAAGAGAATGGGTTTCTAGTCAGCCCTCTTAATAAACTGTATGGGTCATACTATACAAGAACTTTTCAAACATTATACTCAAAGTTGAAGAGACTCCAAAGTCTAACATCTTCCCATGAATCATAAAACATTATTTCACTGATGGCGTGGAGTGATTGGGACTGGCCCCAACAATGGGTGTGAGCAGGCAGCGGCTGCTGCTGCTTTGATCATCCCTCAGGAGCAAGGGGAGGTGGAGAAGCCCTCAGGAGTATTCGGGGCAGCTACAGCTCATACCTGCTGATGGCACTGACCAATCAGGACTGGCACTGGGCACCGGCAGTGGGTTCGAGCTGCGGCTCCAGCACCAGCAGCAGATGCAAGAGCCAGGTGGGATCACAGTGTGTAGGAGCAAAGAATTTTCAGTAACACCAGAGGCTCGCCCTGATGACAGTGACCAGTGCCTGACTTGGTCTGGCGGCCTCCCTCACCTACTCCACCATCCCACTACGGCCGACACCCACCATGTTCCACACTTTGCCACCTGCTGCCGTCACCCGCCATGTTCCGCATGCACTCCCTCATGGTCAGCACACGTCATAGCACTGGTTGTTCTGCCATTTGGTCTATTTGCATATTAGGATTTTATATATGGAGACAGATAAGGAACTAAAATATTTTAAATCTTTAGGTGAGAGAAAGTGGTCCTTTTCCACTCAATACTCTGCTGTTTCCTCACTCACACCCACAGTCATCCTCCAAGATCCAGGTTATATTTTTCTAACTGGCTTCAAGACAGAAGTAATTATTTCAGATTCAACAAGTCTAAAACTGTACTCTTTGTGCTCTGCCACTTTATCTCCATTCTTTCTTCTTTTGAAATGTCTTACAATCCTTTCCTCTGTCCTTTCTCTCCAATCTCCAAATTACCAACCCAGCTATGGATAAAGGTAAGTCACTAGCCTTAATTTTACTTCATCTTTTGAAATAACTCTCACATCACCTTTGCCGCTATTAAATCAAGTGTCTCTCACTCTTGTTCTTTATTTTTTTTTTAAAAAAATATATTTTATTGATTTTTTTACAGAGAGGAAGGGAGAGAAGGATAGAGAACTAGAAACATCGACCAGTTGCCTCCTGCACACCCCCGCACTGGGGATGTGCCCGCAACCAATGTACATGCCCTTGATCGGAATCAAACCTGGGACCCTTCAGTCTGCAGACTGACGCTTTATCCACTGAGCCAAACCGGTTTCGGCTCACTCTTGTTCTTTAACGGCTCATGCTCAGAGTGCTCTGCAGACCCACCAGCAACAGCAACACCCCCTGGAGGGAACTTGTTAGAAATGCAGATATCGGAGTCCACCTCAGACAGACATAATCAGAGACAAGCATTCTGAACCACAGTAAAGTCACTGAGCTTTGGAGGATGTCCATAGCCTGGTCCTGTCTTCTTTAGGAATCTTCGTTCTAAGGTTACCTTCTTCACCCCAGTAAAGCAATTCTTCATGGAGTCCCAAAGGTTCATTTTCACCATCTCTACTGGTGTCAGTACCTTCTCATGTCTTACCAAACACTTCCTACTTCCCAGACCCAGCTCATCTTATTTCTATGAAATAAGAAATGAAAATATCTCCAACAATGCTAACCCTTAACAATATCATCCTTACTCACACTTACTTAAACTGCTGTATTTATAGTTAGTGCCAGTGGCTTACAATTTAACTATTTGCTGGTTTGTCTGGTAAAACATGGGTCTAGGGTTTTGTTTTTCTTCTTTTTCATTAGCATAATTCTGGACACACGGTGCCTGCTCCATAAAGCCTTACGTTTTATGTCTTACCGACTTTGCTCCTTTGGCAGATACCATAGGTCAAACTGCTTTTCCAGTTGAGACTTTTTTATGTTTTCCTATGTCACCTAACAACCTAACATCCACAAGTTACCTCCCCCAACCAGAAAGCCTATAAAATGCTGCAGCAAGCTCACTAAAACTCAAAACCCGGGGAACTGAAGGGTTCCTGACCCCAAACACTAACCCTCTTAATCTAAGCGCTCACTCCTCCACAAACTTGGCTTTAACTGATTTCAGGGATACAACAGTTCCAGCTGTTCCATGGAGCTGACAGGCAGGGGCAGCCCGGGCACATTACCCTCGGAGTCCAGGCGTCCCGAGGTCGGTCAGACGCAGAGCCGGGAAGGCTACCCTACAGGACGGGGAGGAAGCGCTGGGAGGGCGGCGGGCGGACCACCAGCCGCCGGCGCGCCGCCGCCTCCTCCCAAAGGGGAAAACAGCAGCTGCGAAGTTTCCTGCTTATGTCAACGAGTTCAACACGAAGGAAAACAGTGTGGAAGTGGGAGCCGCGGAAATGGTGCGGGGAAAGTGGGGTGACACTAAACAAAACTCTGTCTGGGAGCCAGTCTCGGGGTTCGGCCGCCGGGGGCGGGCCCCGCTGGTCAGACGCCAGACGCGGAAGCGGCGTCCGGCCGACCGGAGCCGGAGGAGGCCGGGACCGGGGACCCCGGTCGGCTTTTCGCAAAGCAGTGACGTCACGGGCGGTCGGGGCTGAGGACGCCACGGAGGGGGCGCCAGCCGAGGCCCAAGGTGTTGCTAACCAAGGCTACGACTCACTCACCTTTCCCACTCGGAGGCAGTGGTGAAGTCCGTGAGCTCAAACACCTCGGACTCGGGCTGCGGGAAGGGGAGGGGGGAGGGGGAAAAAAAGAGAGATTGAGCGTCCGGGCGCTGAGGCAGAGGAGCGAACATGCAGGTAGGAATAGGCAGGGAGCGACCACCTCACCTCACTGTCGGCCGCCATCTTGAAGACCGCCGGGGCAGGCGCTGGGGCTGCTGGGAAGAGGACGGGAAGGCAAAGGGAGGAGGAAAAGAAAGGCCCAGAGCCCGCAGGGGCGGAGCCTAGAGCCCGAGAGGCGGGGCCGAGAACCCGAGAGGCGGGGCCGAGAGCCCGAGGGGCGGGGCCAAAGCCCGAGGGGCGGGGCCTAGGTGCAGCCCCGTCCCCGGAGCCACCGCCCCCTGTCAGTCCTGCTTGTAATAGACTTCTCAGACTGAAATAATTACATTAAAAATCGCTTTGAACTAGAAATTTTCCTATTATGAATTCAGGAAGGGACCAGAAGAAAAGGGATAACACAAGCCCTAGATTCCCAGAATAAAATTGTATTAAAAACCTAAAAGTATCTGGGACCGGTTTGGCTCAGTGGATAGAGCGTTGGCCTGCGGACTCAAGGGTCCCAGGTTCGATTCCGGTCAAGGGCATGTACCTTGGTTGCGGGCACATCCCCAGTAGGGGGTGTGCAAAGAGGCAGCTGATTGATGACTCTCTCTCATCGATGTTTATAACTCTATCTCTCTCCCTTCCTCTTGTACAAAATCAATAAAATATATTTAATAAATAAAAATAAAAACCTAAAAGTACTTTGAGTTTTTATTCATTCTCCCTTTGTTGATTGCAGGGCACTGAGAGGTGCTCTAAAGCTCACTCTCTCCCACCTATACCCCTCAGAGAATTTACACATTTTAGTTAAGCCAGGAAACAAAAATCATTGTGCTAATTATCTTGTTTATGGAAAGAGCAATGTGCTGTTCAGTGAAAACTTCTCTTGGTAAGCCATTGAGGAACAGAAGGTGTTTGTCTAGAGGTTAATAATTACATCTCATACATACTGAAGTATTTACAGATACAATGATACCATATCCAGGATTTGCTTGAAAATAACGGGAGGGGGACGTAGGTGGGGCTAGGAATAAAACAAGATTAGCTATGAGTAGGTAATTGCTTAAGTCGGTGATGGATACATGGATGTTTATACTCTCCTTAGGTCTGAATTTTTTCATAATTAAAAGTTTTTAAAAATTTAAATCTCATTTAATGAATTTGCAATCCATAAGAAGGGATTTGGGGGTAGAAAAATAAAAAATTAATCTCAGCAATACAAAATTCAGTCTTAGGGCATACAAGAAAACTAAGGTCAGAAGAATTTTGACAACAGGTAGTTTATTGCCACTGCCAAACCTTGAACCCTGTTTCTTGATGATCCTTCTAGTTTCTGTCCACCACACTGTTGGGAGGTTGTGTGAAGCAAGCATTCCCAAGAGTTCAACTAGCACCTTCATTCATTTTCAGGGATTTATTGAACACCTACTACATACAGTACAAGCCCATTACTATCTAGGCTCTGAGGATATGAAGATGTATTGTAGAAATGTGGAAAGTGGAAATTTGCTGCATGAACAGAAAGAAGAGATGTTACATGTGTCAGCATCACTATTAGCAATGTAGAAGTCAATGGTAACCTTGACAAGAAGAATTTTAGAAGAGAGCTGAAGGATAAGATGGGGGCAGCTTAGTTGAGGTGGGAAAGGCTTCTAAGCAGAAGAGGCTGGAAGGTAGACAACATCCAGAGGCTGGAAGGTAGACAACTCTGATCTGTATAACAGACCAAAGAAGAGCAGCTTGAGCAGTGTTTGTGGTGAAGTTGGAGAAGTAGGTATGGGCCAGACCATCTAGAGCCTTTCAGGCTAGGGTTGAAGCACAATGGAAGTCACTAAAATGTTTTAAGCAAGAGAGCAATGTGATCAAACTTACATTTTGTAATAGCCTGGATGTTATATGAATAGATTGGAGGGTAGCCCCAAAGAAGTAGGAACAGCAGCTAGTCATGAAAGCATCCAGTGAGAGATGCTTTGGAGACTTTGATTAGGGTGGTCAGAAGACTAGGTGAACTTATTTGATATGTATTTTGGATATATGATAGGCAGGACTTGATGATAAATTAAATGCAGTGATAAGAGAAAGGAAGGTATTGAAGATAATTTTCTGGTTTCTGGTGTAAGCAACTGTGGGAGGCTAATGCCAAGTCGTGAGATGAGAAAGATGGGAAGGAACAAGGAAACTAGTGTTTTAGTTGGCAAGTCTAACAGGCTTGTAAAACATTCCAAGGGAGTTATCAAGGAGAAAATTGAGTATAATAATAGGACTCAGAGGCAAGACCTGGGGTGAAAATATAAGTTTGGGAGTATTTTAATCACAAGAACAGATGAGGTAATTTTAAGAAGAGAATATAGAAAGAAAAGGAGCCTCACATCAAGGCCTAAAGAAATTTCATATTTAGGGGTGGGTAGGGAAAAAGTGTCTAGTGAAAAAGGAAATAGTGGCTAGAGAATTAGGAACATAAGGAAAGAGAGATTACACATTTCAAGATGGTAAATATTGACTGCTGCTGTAAAATTAAACGAGAGGAATATTGGGTCAAGAGTGATTGATTGTTATTGTTTCTTGGGTTTTTTTTTGTTTGTCTTTAAGGCAAATACAGAGGATAGTACAGTTGACTCTTGGCCAGCATGGGTTTGAATTGCCTGGGACAACTTATACTCAGATTTCTTTCAACCGAAATCTGAGTATAAGTTGTCTCTGTATCTGGGGATTTTGCACAGCATTCAGCTCACCTCAGAAAGAAAACAGTATTTTTGTATTCCCAAACACAGATTCCACCCGTGGATCCAAAATACTGTTTTCCATCTACAGATGGTTAAATCTGTAGATATGAAAAGCCAACTGTAGAGTCAAAAGTTATCCTGGCCCTAGCTGGTTTGACTCAGTGGATAGAGCATCAACCTGCAGACTGAAGGGTCCCAGGTTTGCTTCAGGTCAAGAACACTTACCTGGGTTTCGGGCTCGATCCCCAATAGGGGGCATGCAGGAGCAGCTGATCGATATTCTCATCATTGATATTTCTACACCCTCTCCTTTCCTCTCTGAAATAAATAAAAAATATATATATTTATAAAAAAAAAAAGTTATCCTGGATTTCTGACTATGAAGGGAAGTACCTAATCCCATGTTCTCCAAAGGTTAATTGTGAGTGTGTTTGTATGCTGATGATAATAATCTAAGAGAGAGAGAGAGATTGATGATGAAGAGCAGATGGAGCTCTTGTTAAGATGAGAGGGGAGGAAGTCCTCAGAGCTGCTGCTCACAGACTTGCAGTCTGAAGTCTTACTTCATGAGGGACCACCCACAGAGATCTCCTTGTGAATAGCCTTCCTGGGGTTGTGCAGCAAGGTGGTGCCAGGAACTCAGAGCACATGTAGCAGGAGGGTGGGAGGGAATAAAGAATATGTGAGGAGGTTGGCTTCTTTTGAGAAGGAAAGAAAAAGATGGATACAAACATAGCATCATAGTTGGTCCGAAGGTTGTGGGTTATTGTTAAACTGATTAACAAACATAAGCATCAGGAGATTTGTACATATAAACTTGTCCATTTAACTTTTTAAGATTCTCACCAAGTGAAATAAGTCTGTAGGTTTGAAGGTTAGATAAATCCAGGTTTAGCCATTTACTAACTTTTGATTTGGAGCAAGTTACTTAATTCCTGTAAACCTCAGTTTCTTCATTAGTAAAATGGGGCTTGTAATATCTCATAGAATTATAGCAAAGATTAAGTTCCATGTAGTACATCTGTAAAATGGTTAGCATATGTCCTAGGATATAATAGGTGATCGATTATGGTCATAGCATTTATAATGAATGTACTATGAAAGCCATAAAATGCTACTCACATGTAAAGCATTACATTCCTCTCTTAGCCTTGAAGAAGTCTCAGCGCAAACCAGAATCATAAACTGAAATATCACAAAGACTTGGCTGCATGAATTTTGGAAACTGTACAAAACAGCCTTATCAGGTTGCTAGGAAAAGTTTTCTTCCAAGATATTTTTGGCTCCTTGTCTTCTCCCTGGAGGAACTTTTAAAATAAGTTTATTTGTTAAAGTGAAGCATGAAGCGAGTTGCTAATGATGTGAAATACACACTTTTATCAGGTTTTCACTGGTTCATGAAGCAGAAAAGATTTTTGTTTCTTTGTATCAGGAGCTATTTTGCTACACGTCCAAAGGCAAGGGCCTTTCCGTGCAAATGTGCTTTCTCTCCAGCATAGTTTTTTGTTACTTCAAGGTGTTACCAATAATGAGAATGGGGGGGATTCTGAGGCATAGGCAATTTAGAGATTAAAAACCTGGAAAAATCACCCTAGGTTCAGTCCTCAGAGGAATGTGGGGCACAGCAGATTAATTAGATTTTTGTGAGAGAGTAAGCATTGTGAGAAGTGCAACAACAATGGGACTACTCAATCCTCATCAACCCTGATGGCCTCGAGCGAGGAGAATCAGGAATTTTCTATGATGCTGCCACGAGAACTGCAACAGAGGATACACCTAGAAGAGGAAGACATTCTATGGGAACAAGAAACTCTTAGTGCCGAAACCGGTTTGGATAGAGCGTTGGCCTGCGGACTGAAAGGTTCCAGGTTCGATTCCGGTCAAGGGCAAGTTCATTGGTTGCGGCACATCCCTGGAGGGGGGTGTGCAGGAGGCAGCTGATCGATCTCTCTCCTCTCTGTAAAAAATCAATAAAATATGTTAAAAAAAAAAAAAAAAAGAAAATCAATAAAATATATTAAAAAAACAAAACAAACTTTTTAAAGAGAAATTCTCTGACTCAAAACGATCAGACAGCATTTATTTATTCATTCGGTAATATTTATTCAATATCTACTGTCATGACAATGTGGTCAATTCTGTGGAGGGATTCAAAGAATAATCTTGGCCCTCAAAAATGCTCACAGTCTGAGATAAGACATAAAGAACTATAATGGGGTTTAGAAAGGGATGCATCCTGCTTATCCAACTTCTCAAAACTCCTTGTGAAGTCAGTGGTAGGAAAGTATTCAAATGGCCTTTCAGAACACACACACTTTATCTTCTAAATAAGTAGTCTATATTTCTTGAGCTAGAAAGAGG